GGGTTTAAAAAAAACCCCATAAAAGCCGGTATAGGCATAGTAATCTCATAGCTATATTCCTTACGTCCTTTTTAGGATGTAATTTTTTTTTATTTGAAGCCCCACTCTGGCTTTTGCCAGGGGCTGCAATATAGGCAGGCTATCAATATGGCCAATTGTCTGAACGCGGTTTCTGGGACCTCTCCACAGTGATCCTCATCCACATGGTGGCACTTTGTGTCATCGGGTGTTTATCGCTTGTGTGATGTCCTAGTGGGGTAGAAAGTCAGTCAGTCCGTTCTCTCATACAACCATTTTATGTTTTTTTTTGCTGACTCCGAACGAAGAATCTTGACTGGCGTATCACTTGGTCTAAGTGTGCTAGGTGCTGGTGGGGCTTTCAGGTCACGGTAGCCACCGTAACGATTTCTCCTTCGCTCTGACCCCTGAATTCATGTTCTAGCGTTTTTAGCTTACCACTAATACTTCGTGTTACTCCAGGTTTTACTTCTTTGTATGTCAAATCGCGGCTGGTAAAAGCCGATAGACGTGTTATTATGTCAGCATTTGCGTGTGCCCTCGCACCTACGCAAGAACAATTTTTTTTTAAAGCATAGGCTCTATCTCCTTACATTTTCTTAGTCTTTTGAGATTCCTAGGTTCCATCACTACGCATGCGCGCCCACGAATACGCATACATGTGTGCTCATGCACACACACATACACGCACATGCGCGCACAATGCACACACTCCCACGCAAGCACACAATACATCCATGCACACACACTCCCACGCAAGCACACAATACATCCATGCACACACACTCCCACACAAGCACACAATACATCCATGCACACACACTCCCACGCAAGCAAACAATCCATCCATGCGCACACACTCCCACGCAAGCACACAATACATCCATGCGCACACACTCCCACGCAAGCACACAATACATCCATGCGCACACACTCCCACGCAAGCACACAATACATCCATGCGCACACATGCATAGAGTGGGTGGAAAAGGTGGAGGGAAAAAAGGTGGGGGGGGGACACAAAGATAACACACACACACACACACACACAGAGAGAGAGAGAGAGAGAGAGAGAGAGAGAGAGAGAGAGAGAGAGAGAGAGAGAGAGAGAGAGAGAGAGAGAGATGAAAGAGAAAGAGGGAGATCGAAAATACTTGTGACATCTTGTTTTGCAAAATGTTGATGGAAAGCAATATGGTGCATACAGAGAAAACAACTACAGGATGACAATCTGTCGTATGAACGGGAGCCATTGAGGCAGACTGAAAAGATGGCCCAAGAAAGGAACGGAGAATTAGGCTGCCAGCCGTTTCATAGTCATGGCCGTCCACAGTCTTCTACCTCTTGTGTTTTTTAGTAATTTATGTTACAGCTGTTGTCCCTTTGCCCTCCTTCCCCTCATACTTTCACTACCGTCTCCATACATTTTCTTCTTCTCATGGAATGACCACGGAATACAGTTTGTCTTCTTCTGAACTGAGCAGTCAGTTCTCTTTGTGAGCTTATTTCTTCCAAGACATCGTCATTATTGTTTTTGTCTGTTCTCTTTGTGAGCTTATTTCTTCCAAGACATCTTCATTATTGTTTTTGTCTGTTCTCTTTGTGAGCTTATTTATTCCAAGACATCTTCATTATTGTTTTTGTCTGTTCTCTTTGTGAGCTTATTTCTTCCAAGACATCTTCATTATTGTTTTTGTCTGTTCTCTTTGTGAGCTTATTTCTTCCAAGACATCTTCATTATTGTTTTTGTCAGTTCTCTTTGTGAGCTTATTTCTTCCAAGACATCTTCATTATTGTTTTTGTCTGTTCTCTTTGTGAGCTTATTTCTTCCAAGACATCTTCATTATTGTTTTTGTCTGTTCTCTTTGTGAGCTTATTTCTTCCAAGACATCTTCATTATTGTTTTTGTCTGTTCTCTTTGTGAGCTTATTTCTTCCAAGACATCTTCATTATTGTTTTTGTCTGTTCTCTTTGTGAGCTTATTTCTTCCAAGACATCTTCATTAATGTTTTTGTCTGTTCTCTTTGTGAGCTTATTTCTTCCAAGACATCTTCATTATTGTTTTTGTCTGTTCTCTTTGTGAGCTTATTTCTTCCAAGACATCTTCATTATTGTTTTTGTCTGTTCTCTTTGTGAGCTTATTTCTTCCAAGACATCTTCATTATTGTTTTTGTCTGTTCTCTTTGCGAGCTTATTTCTTCCAAGACATCAGTATTTCTTTTTTTTGGTCTGTTCTCTTTGTACGCTTATTTCTTCCAAGACATCTTCATTACTGTTTTTGTCTGTTCAGTGTGCTCTCATCTTCTTCTTTATGTCCTCTTTTACCACTTCGAGTGTCAAGGTCCTGCTTTGTGCTTTTCTGGCTGCTTCGACCAAAGACACATTGTGGTAATGTAGTTTCTCTGATGTTATCCTTCCATCGTGTTCTTGGTCTGCCTCTTGCTCTATGTCCCTCTCCTCTTTTGTTATATGCCTTGAAAAGTATAGCATCAGAAAGCATTATCTCTAAGTGGGCAAACCATTTGATTTGCTGTCTTTTTATGTAATTTAGAATTGCTTCTGTGCTGACTTTATCTCCTACGACCTCATTCATGATTTGATCTCTTCTGGTCACTTCTTTAGCCTTTCTCAGACACTTTATTTCCATGGTTACTAATTTTTGTTTATATTATGTTGTGAGTGACCATGTCTGGCACTGATAGCATAGGGTGGGAATGAATATGCTTTGTATGAGATGTATGTCTGTGCTGATTGTGATTGCCTTATGCTGTAAAAAAAAAAAGGGGGGGGGGGGGGGGGGGGGGGGTGAGGCTAGTTGTCCCAATATTTGGCCAGCTTTACGGCATAGAATTTTAGTTTCATTGTCTAATTCATCTGTAAAACCATATCTCTGCCAGCTCCACACAATTTTTCACTTTCTGCCAGAGCTTACTGCCGGTGAATGCGGAAAAGAGGTTATTTTCATATATCAGATGCCAGAAGTCCGTCTTTCTCTCCCCCCCCCCCCCCCCCCCCATCCTCTCTCTATCTCAAGTAATGTTAGTATAAATTAGAGCATATTCCAGCATTTGTAATTAAGACTTAGATATTGTTTTTTTTTCTTCTTCTCTTTTTTGTTCTTTTGTTTCTTTTCTATATTTCTCAAATTTTTAATTGTGCATTCCTCTTTTTATTAATTATTATTATTATCAATTATTATTATTACTATTAACTATGAAATGAGGTAAAAATGAAACATTGTATGAAAGGAGCAGAGTGGAAGGGCAGAATGTTAGACGGGCCTGCGTGCCCAATTCTTAACCCTTTGAAAATAAAGTTTGTTCGTTCGTTCGTTCGTTCGTTCTCTCTCTCTCGCTCTTTCTCTCCCTTTCTCCCTTTCTCTCTTGCTCTCTCTCTCGCTCTCTCTCTCTCTCTCTCTCTCTCTCTCTCTCTCTCTCTCTCTCTCTCTCTCTCTCTCTCTCTCTCTCTCTCTCTCTCTCTCTCTCTCTCTTCCCCCCCCCCCCCCAACCCTCCCTGCAAGCTGCTACTTTATTTAACCACACTGACTTGAAGAGTCACATCACATCCTATATATGAAACCAGCAAGGTGAATTCCAGATACCCATTCAACCTACATGAAAGTAATAAATCACACCTATGATGGCTATACACAAATGGTTTACTCTGCAGTTCTGTCTTGTTAAGGGGATGGTAAGATGATAATACAACAGCAGCCTCAGAAGTTTGGTAGTCAGCTGCAGGTAGTCAGTTGTTTCTTTTTCTTCTTACCATTGTTTCTTTGATTCTCCTTATTGATTTATTAACGGGTAACTTGTTTATTTCTAGAACCCTGGCCAGAAGTTTGGGAGAGGCGGGACAGATTGAGCCAGAGACTGAAGCTATGTTGATAGAGATGGGTGTGGATGACTCCCCATTCACTGACGAGGTGAGTGGTCTTTGTGTCATATCCCTTGTTGTCAGCAATTTTCTGATGTCATCAATGATATCTGAAGTCTGAAGATTGCTACTTATTCTCTTTGGTCAGGTTAATAGTGTGCATCATCATTGTTGTATCGTGGATACTGTCATTCCCACTTAGTCCTGTAAGTGCTTTTTTTTTCATTAAATAAACTTTAGGGCCTAAAAAAAGAAAAAGAAAAAGAAAAAAAGAAACCAATTATGTTTAAAGTAGGCTGAGGCAATCTTGCACCTTCCTCTCCCAGATTAGCAGCTTTTTCATTTCAAGGTGTAGGGGGCTGCATGGTCTCGAGACGTGGTGTCCACCTCGAGTGCTAGAGGTTCCGGGTATTTTTTTCATGTGGACTTGGACTTCTAGTAATTCCCCCTGATCTCTGGGCAGTGAGATCGAATGCCCGTGTGCATTGTTGCACCCGTAAAAAAATCCCTTGGCAGTTGGAACTCGAAAAGAGTAGCCTAACTGCACTGTCCGAGCAAAAATTGAGTAAAAAATCTACCCAAAGTATTTCAGGAACCTCACCGGTGCTACAAAGTCTGTGCACTGTGCTGAGCTTCTTCCGACTCAGGCTTGAGTTAGAAGAAGAACAGAGCACTTATGGGTTACTACCCATGTGCCATGATGTTGATCCGTTGATCAAACTTCAAACCTCATTTCAAGCTGTGTTGCAGTGGGACAGTATTCATTGTATTCCTGTTTTCACAATGTACCCATTTTCTTTCTTCTTCTTCTGACACACATCCTTTACATGTGATTCTCGGGCACCTTGAAATTTATATTTCGATGTGATTCGATAAACCAGACATAGCTTTCTTTTATGTTTTTAACACTGAAGCTAAAGGCCAAACAGATGTACAACCATCGGAATTGGAACTGTTCGTTTGCCACTGAAGATGGAGACGGAGCACTTATAGGATTGTCCCGAGTGCTGTGGTAGGGATTCCTAATTCAACATGATAAATTTTCAGTATTATTTGTTACTGGAGCTAGCCTTTCTTCTACATTGTTGAAAACCTATTGTCTACAGGTGAATGAGTGTTTACCCAACAATCTGCCCTGGAGTATACCCGAGCATGAGTTTTCTTATCGCAAAGATTTGCGAAGCTTCTGCATTTTTACAATAGACCCGGCCACTGCCAGAGATCTGGACGATGCTGTATCCATTGAGGACCTCGGAAATGGTAAGAGAAGGATAAGATTTGTGAAAGAAAATGGTCATAAGTATGTGGAAGATCATCAGATTTCTTGGTTAAGAGAGAAGAACATGCAAGCTGGCTAGGTTTCTTAAAACACTGAATTGGTTTTTACACAAGAAAAATAGCTAGTCAGACATGCCACATTGGTTAATACACAAGAAAAATAGCTAGTCAGACATGCCACATTGGTTAATACACAAGAAAAATAGCTAGTCAGACATGCCACATTGGTTAATACACAAGAAAAATAGCTAGTCAGACATGCCACATTGGTTAAACACAAGAAAAATTGCTAGTCAGACATGCCACATTGGTTAATACACAAGAAAAACAGCCAATCATACATTCCACATTGATGATAACACAAGAAAAACAGCCAATCTCATATGATTTTTTTTTATTTAAACAAAATTAACACTTTAGCAAGATCTTTTTAAAGCAATATATTTAGATTAATTATGCTGCAGTTTTCAAGTTTTTTTGTTGGTCAATCTTTCCCTGTTCTCTATCCCTGTCATTTATTTGTATATATTGTTTGTTTCATTGCTTGTAGAGCCTCTGAAGTTTCCTAGGTCGCTAGGATTTCTTTGGTCCTCGACTCTTCAACTAAATATATTCATCTTCGCATAGGAAATATAGACTTTGGTTGTTTGAGTTAAAGCATGAAATCTTCTCCATGTAAATTGATTGTGAATGGTATGCGGAGATTGACTGACATTGCTCATCTGCCGTGGAGTTGGTGTCATACACATCATTAAAATTTGAATACCAGTATGTGTAACCAAGTGCTTTTCCATTCCTTCTGGATTTCCAGTATCCATAATTTACCTGCATACCTCCAAGTAGAACATTTATACTACCTTCAAGGGCAGATTTGACGAAATTGACGATAAAGTTATATTCGAGCTGATTGTCGACTTCAGCTAGGTAGCCTCCCAAGGTCGTGCATGCTGCTTCAGCATTTCTGGCATTCTGCGGCTGGAAGCGCGATAAGTGGTAATGGCGGGCACCGTTTTCATCTACGTAGAGGGGTGATGAAGAAAACAAAACCTTCTTCCAGTCATTCTTCACAGTCTGAAGCTCTGCGATGTTCTGTTGCTGGGTAGCCAGCATGTTGGTCAAGGAGGCCATGTTGTTCACCATGTGCTTGAGGTTGGTCTCAATTTCTTGTATCCTTTCTACAACCTGGGCCACCTGTGGAGCACTGGTCCCAACAGTTGCTTGAACACTCTGAGGATGAACCTCTCCATGGATGTTCATCACGTACCCTTCACAGACGTAGGTTCCGCTTTCCAGGAAGGATGGGTAATCCCATTGTAAGCTCAGGTAGGAACCATGCAAGGCATCGATCTGACCCACAACTGTTGCATTGGTGGGGTCATTGGACACTGGAAGACCGTCTAGGTATGTGTTAATATGAGCCAGCTCAGTTAGGGTAGCATTGCTGGCTCCACCATCTTCTTTCTTCATGATCAAGGACACAACTAAGTTGCCAGACCCCGGCTGCAAATAAAATACGTTTCATCTAATGTTACAAACTGGGTAAAATTAGTATATAATTTTCATATTTATGTTATGCACCTTCTTCATTGGTAGGGTCAAAAAGCTCCCAGAAATGATGCCTTAAGTGTACAATAATTATATTTACATTGATTGAAAAGTGTTTAATATATAGTTTATGTAACCCATTTGAAAAAAATAGTGGTAACAAAAATATAAATTTTTCTTACAACCAGTTAGTTGGTGTGAACTTGGTCATAAGTTAAGACCATATAGTTAGTTGGCACATTTCTATCCTTCTAGAACTCCTCTTCTTCTTCTTAGTCTATATGTCATGTGTTGTTGATCAATCACTGGCCATGTTGTTAAACACAACAGACACATGAACTCATGTCTGATTATACTGTATCCTGATAGGCATACCTGATTGAGCTTGGGTGGGTGTGGAATGCATAGATTGTACCACAGGCAGTTAACATATAGTTACTGAGCAATATTGCAAACAGTATCATAGGCAGAAAAACACTGGAGTGGGCCTTAAAGTGACAGATGAAAACTGTAAACTTATTAGAGAGACTAGATGTTCTTGCCAAATTTTAGACATTTTGTGAGGGAATAACTTTAAAATTTAATTACGGTTCTTCTTCTTTGTGGTCGCCGTCTGTAAACTCTGGGGGAAAGTTGTGGTTGTTCGACTATGGACTTTAGTCTTGTTCCAGAACCTTAGATTCGCGTGCAGATCCATTTTACACATCTGGCTTAATTTTATGCAGACTGTTGGTTCTTTGCCTCTCAGGCAGATGCACTGCGACTTTGAAGAAAGCCCCCCAGCTAGTCAACTCTTATGATATGCTTGTTGGGAGGCAGTGGGTCTATTCTTGTTTTTTTACCCCACTGTGGCCCTGGAACCCATAGAGGGAAAACTTTACAATAAGCAAACTTGATGGGAAAAGGCAAGGCAAAGACACAGATGAATACCAGAATAGCTTGATCACATAACAAGCAAAGACACAGATGAATACCAGAATAGCTTGATCACATAACAAGGCAAAGACACAGATAAATACCAGAATAGCTTGATCACATAACAAGGCAAAGACACAGATAAATACCAGAATAGCTTGATCACATAACAAGGCAAAGACACAGATAAATACCAGAATAGCTGTACATAACACAAAGACACACATAAAAACTCAGCTAACTGACCAACAAATCTAAGATGAACTACAAAGGGAGAAGCCTAAACTCAAGATTGAAAAAGTGGATTGGTTTGGATCAAAACTCAACCACTACTCTGTGGGTAAATCAGAAGATAATTCCATACCTGGCAAAGTAGTGCTCAAACAGAAGCCAGAGACCTGAGCTGTACATCCTGTAGTGTTCCTGATGTTAAAAGATGTGGCATTCCAGATCAACTTGCCTTAGCAACAACAAAAAACGTTTCTTGTTGCTGCTGGGGGGTGGCTATGCTACGCCTTCGGCCAAGAAAGACAGCGGCTTCTAAATACCTGATGCCAGCAGTAAGTGTTACAATTGCTCTGGCTCATATGGGGCTAGATACCTATTCTGCCCATGTCTCCAACAGTCAAGAGTCATGATAAAAACTGCTATTAGAGATAATAACACTCCTATCAAGAGACTTGAAGGGGAATCAAGGTACCCAGGGAGTTACCATAGTGCAAAAGACACAGCTTCAAAGCTGGATAACCTAGCTGAAGAAGGAGATCAAACCCTCTGAGAGGAAGACATCCAACAAGCACAGGTACAAAAGGAGTCTGATGAGATGAGAAACATCCTAAACCTTACCCTAAAAACCCAAAGACAGATGGCAACCGAAGCAGCTAGGATGGAACACTGTAAGGCAGAAATAATAGCACTGCTAACAAATATGAAATCACAACAGGAACAGTGAAAAACAAGCAGCCAAGGATACAAGACCACCTGAAACTCAAAAGCACAGAGGAAGCAGTTCAACTAAAATCATGGAGGAGATGGTCTGAAGATCCAAGGAGACATGAGGGTAGTCTGAGGAAGAAGGATGAAAGGTTTCACATGACAATGATCAACAAATTTAAGATTGGCCAATCAGATGAAACCCGAAACAACAGAAATCCTTCAAGGACTGCCCAGATTCAACGGAAAACCTTTGGCCAAAAGAGACACTTGTGGAAGTCAAACTTTACGGGGCGCTTAGTGAATTACAAAAGACAGTGAAATTCATACTAGAGACAGCTTTGCAGATATAGACAATTTATTTCATGCGAACAAAAGAAGAAAAATAAGAAGACATGACAATGATCAAGAGAAAGAAAATTCAGGAGAATCCAGTTAACTCAAAGAAAGTTACAGGAAACTGACAGCAAGATTACAGCCAGGAACCTCTGGCAGGTTCTTACAGAAACTTGTGGACTTCCATCACATAGCACTATCAGCACACCTGATTAGGCAGCATGACAGCTATCAGTCGCACAATGCTTGAAGCAACACAAAAGCTATCACAGTCGCACAACACTTGAAGCAGAATGACAGCTATCACAGTCACACAACACTTGAAGCAGCATGACAGCTATCACAGTCACAACACTTGAAGCAGCATGACAGCTATCACAGTCGCACAACACCTGAAGCAACACAACAGCTATCACAGTCACACAACACTTGAAGCAGCATGACAGCTATCACAGTCACACAACACTTGAAGCAGCATGACAGCTATCACAGTCACACAACACTTGAAGCAGCACAACAGCTATCACAGTCACACAACACTTGAAGCAGCATGACAGCTATCACAGTCGCACAACACTTGAAGCAGCATGACAGCTATCACAGTCACACAACACTTGAAGCAGCATGACAGCTATCACAGTCACACAACACTTGAAGCAGCATGACAGCTATCACAGTCACAACACTTGAAGCAGCACAACAGCGAAGCAGTCACACAACACTTGAAGCAGCATCAGCTCACACGCACACTCGAAGCAGCACAAAAGCTATCACAGTTGCAGTCAGCACGCTATCACTCACAAGCACAAGCAAAAGCTATCAGTCACACGACACTCGAAGCAGCATGAAGCTATCACAGTCACACAACACTTGAAGCAGCATGACAGCTATCACAGTCACAACACCTGACACTTGAAGCTATCACAGTTGCACAACACCTGAAGCAGCATGATATCACAGTCACACAACACTTGAAGCAACACAACAAAGCATGCTATCACAGTGAAGCACGACATGACAGATCACAGTTGCAAACACAAAAGCTATCACAGTCACACAACACCTGACAGCATGACAGCTTTCACAGTCGCACAAACACTGAAGCAGCATGACAGCTATCACAGTCGCACAACACTTGAAGCAGCATGAAAAGCTATCGCAGTCAGTCAACACAAAGCAGCATGACAGCTATCAGTCACACAACACTGAAGCAGCATGACAGCTATCAGTCACACAAACACTTTAAGCAGCAC